AGGGTGAAATCATTGAATGATGTAATGAGGAAAAAAATGAAATGATGCAAATAACAAAAGCATGAGAAAAAGTCATGTCTAAATTACTAGAAAATATACTGTTATGGCATTTAGTTGGCATCAAAGAAGGCTGCTAGGACCTAATACAGACTAGAAAAATGTTATAATATCTGGTTTCTCAGTTCCTTTATGACAAAAGCTGGTCGCATTTTATTGTTATTCTATTAAATTTTAGGGGATGGGCAATAAAAGCGATTATCTGGTACAGATAATTATTAGTCTCATTACCAAATCTTAATTGCAACTGCTTTAGAAAAAAAGGCTAAAGGATAAATAAAATTGTTCCCAATTCAACCCTTCTCTATACACTACTCAAGTGTGACCTGTACCAAAATATTAAATTTCTTGAGGTATAAACTATAAACAATCATATATGATTTTTATGATTCAATAACTTCATACGCTAAGCTTAGGTAACGAGAGTTCTTGATGTTAAATACCACCTCTGTTGTTTTTAATAAGATTTTGTCAAACTTATCTGAATAAACTAGGTAGCATTTCACTGTACGGTGAACGAAGACACACATTGATATCATCCAAGTACCCACAACATAAACCAGGAAAGTAACCTGACAATTGAAATTATAACATTAACTTAACAAACCACTAGAATACTGAATAGGTGATTATATTTCTGCCCCCTGTTTGTTTCCAATACCATGAACTACCATACCAATCACTCCAGTAGCAGAACAAATAATGTAAGTTAATAAATCATCAAGGAAAGAAACAAAACAAAAGATGACAAACATAAGGGCAGTTGCATACTGTGCATGGGTGGATAATCGAAGTGCTGCATATCCAATTACTACCTGCCAAGTAAAAGAACAGAACTACTTAGGATTGCAATAAAAGATAGAATGAGAGGAGTGCATAACAGGCCAAACCACTAACCAAAGAGTATACAACCAGTAAGATGAGGTTAAGATGATTTTGTATTATTTCAAATGGAAGGAAAAGAAAAAAGGATCTCATTGAGCTCACTGGTTTTGGGGCTTCTAGTTTCATTTGAAGATCAACATGGAAGAAAATGAATAGAAGGTGATGCAATGGTATCCAAACAGCAGGGAGAGAAACTTTAATTTCATCATGGTAGCAGGCCACACCAACAGCAACTTGCGTGTGAGCCCACTTCTGAAGTGATAAACCAGGTTCCCTTGGATACATTGCCTAGTCATATCAGTAGCACAGAAAGAACAATAAGACGAGTTTAAAAATCATAGTGCAAAGTATCACTCAACAATTTTAGCTCGTCTATGAACGTCTGCATCATCCTTTCTCAGCTCAACTCATACAAATAGATTCCTTTTCCAACTCAAGCTCACAGTTAAAGGATATACATATAGAGAATGGAAAAGCTGCAAGAATAGTTCGTTTCTCAAAGTTGTCCGAAAGTCAAATGCCTGGAACTGCAGGTTAAAATTAAGAAACTAATTAAGGGTAAACAAGTTCCACACAAATTAAAAAAAAAAAAAAAAGATAAAGTTGCATTGGTAAGAGGTATTAAAAGTTCAAAGGAAGATAGAATAGCTGCAACACATATAACTCTTCATGAGAGGATTTGCTTGGACAAGCAACATCCATATAAAGATCATTACACCACATGTAGCATGTGACTGGAAAACAACTTCCATGATTAACCTCAGCTAAATTTTCAAGCAAGTTGAAAAATAATGACTACTTGAATAGAATTCAAGTACATCAACTTTACTTTAAAAAGCAATTCTCATCATTTAAATGCCCCTTGCCATATGGAATCGGGATCAAGAGACACAGAAAGAATGCTCCTGCTCTTTCACATGCATCAACTGAGGGATAACAGGAGATGATTAGAAAGATGATTAAGGGTTGCTTTTGGAGCACAGAATATTAGCATCTGGATATTGCTTCCAACAGCTATACCAAAGATGGAAAGCAAATACTATTATGAAATCCAAAACAGAAAAACAGCATAAGAAAGACTACCAAAAATGAAACTGAAAGGGATCAGACAAGACGTTTTGTCTTTTTCAAGAAATAATTTGATCTAAACTACTAATGGAGAATAACACTGATTTAGAAAACTCAAACAGCTTCCCTGATGCATGTTGTAAACCTCTCACCTCAATTACTCATTCTCTGGTCTATGGACTTAATATATCTTACGGTGCTAAGGTTATAGCCAGCATTACAATGCTAGATAGATAAATTTGCTCCAGGCCAATTGAGGCATTTATCCATTCAAAATTGAATCAAGAAATAGGCAAACCATATTTACAGAACACAAGAAAAATTCTCTGGTTGTTTCCTATCAGCCATGCAAATAAGCAACTGAAATGCAACAAAAATATAAAAAGAAAATACAAACGCAAGAAAGGCATTCTGCTTACATCACCAACATTGAGATCCGGATTTCCATGAGTGTTTCCATTTCCAGATGCATTTTTCTCATCACTAGGAATCCACTTGGAATTGCTATTCTGAGGCCCATCAGAACCATTGTTGGGGCTCTTAATGAACATTGCATCAGTAACTTGATCCCCTAGGTCCATAGATTCATTGGTCATGCTGCCACTTTCGGAAATATTTTCCAGCTCTGCATTAGATGTCTGGTGCTTCTCAATTCCCAGTCTTAAAACACCTTTCACAGGTTTATGGACCTTGCGTTTAGGATCCTGTTATAATAAAGAAAGCAAAAAAAAAAAAA